AAAAAGCTCTCAACGATATAGGATGCTGCACCAGCGTAAAACAGGCTAACGGGTTCGAGTGTCCAATCGCCTGACCGACATATTTCTCGAGTCCAGGGCTAGAATTAGTCCAATGACATACGGTGATATCAAAACATAATACACATGTGAGCGGATGTATGTGTGTTCTATAAAAATCGTATATAAAAAAAGAGGAAAAAATGAAAAGCCAAAGGATCCTATTTCTAGCACGAGGCGAGTAACAACTCTCTTAAAAGCTATTCCGACACTTGTTCAGCTTCCACCCCCCGTTTTCAACAAATTGTTACAGACGTCTTTACAAGATCGCCCCCGGAGAAAGCACTTCGCTGCGAGTGAGCAGCGAATTTCCTCTTTCGGGCCGATAACTTCGCCTGCCGTGACTATTATCGATTAGAAATTACCGCTTCCCTGATTTTCTCTCTCTCTCTCTCTCTCTCTCTCTCTCGCTAACGCACACGCTATAAAGCAAACGGTTATTTCAACAGTGCCCTTAGTGCTACTCCCTTCTTTTTATCGTCTCTTTTTTTACTCTCTCTTTCTCCCGCTTCGTCTCTTTTCCTCTACGCGCGAGTGAGCTTTCGAAGGCCATTTTCGCGTCTCTTTTTTACTATCAACGCGCTCTCCATTAAAAACACGGTTAAGCTACGATGTTTGCGCTTCGCACTTCTACATCTCAGTCCGTTATGGGTTCAATGGTACAGGAGCATACCGTTCAAATATCAATTAATTTTTTTCCTATCTGGATTAGCAATTACTTACCGAGCTTATTGGTAATTAATCTGCAAATCCGCTTGATCATTTATTCAGCACTTTCATTAAGGACTGGATTTTTTGCTTCTGTGTTAGCTTTTAACCCGCCTGCTTATTCGCTTCAACTTGATTCGTCAATCGACGAATGAATTATGGATAAGCGATCGTTAAATATCTTGTTTGTATCAAAGTAGATTTGCTGTATTTTATATCTCATTCACTTTTCAATCTTTCATTTCACTCGAAACTAGTTGGAATTCTATAATTAATAAACTAATTGATATCTTTTATCGACATAAATTCTATTCGCAAAACGTTTTAATGAATAATTAACTGCCATCTAACGTTCAACAATAATTTAAGCAAATCTAATTAGGAACCTAAATGATATGCTCGTTAATTAAACATCATAATTACAGGCTTGGATTACAAAAATTTTTTGAAAAGTTTCTAAAAAATATCCAATTATACTGATGTTATATTAGTAATCATATATATGTACATCGCTAAAAAAACGAGAAAAAAGCAAAGTAATTGTTTTTTTTTAACTCTTTCGAAAACTACGAGTATGCAAATAATTTTTAGAACGATCATGCCACTCGGCTCTTTCGTTATGTATATATTCAATTACGCTCCACGTCAAGGGAAGCTTTAACGAGGCTTAACCGCAGGACGTCTTACACGATGATCTTGTGTAGGTAAAACGTCTATAAGGTTATTATCCCGAGACGAGTCGTTAATTAATAAGAAGCCCGGCAAGTATGAGGATTCTGCATTTCTGAAATATGTATAGAAATATAAAGCTATAGGTCGTCAGAGTTGGAAGGATATGGGACACGACTTTAATACGAAAGATACTAGGTAATCGATGTCATCGTTAGCTACGAAATGAGACATTAGCAGTCGCAAAGCAGAGTGCATTTTGATCAAGCACGCTCGCTCGTGCTCGTGTAGCTCATGATAATATACCTTCGTCTGACTATGACCTGGTTGTTCTACTTATAGCTTGTGTACGTCGTCGTTACATGGCCAAGAAAATGACAGTGCAGCGCTCATGCTTATGAATTGGGAACGATTTTGTTAACAGGTCGAAGCTGGTTTTTCAAAATGAATTGTTGCCCATTGGATGGGCAGCGAGATATCGTTCCGCAACCAAGTTAAATTTAGATGTCGCAACCTACCAAACGTAGGCATTTTATCACTTTGCTGTCACAAGGCTTAAAACATCTGTGTTAGTCGTATCCCCGAGCAGCAAGCAAGAGCTTGAATTAAAGCGTACATGCTTGAGAAAGGCCAGTACAGTCAGCCAGGTAATATCTTGCCTTAATAAACCTGACGTTAGACCAGCGTATACGCAAGTGTTCATAAAGCACGCGGCCTGTATTATCGCAACAAGTGCTGCATCGTATTTCAGCAGGTGAATTCCGATGTATTTACGAGGGTGCGGGCGTGCCGTTTAGAGGAGGGTCAAGATAATCGTCTTGAGCATGGTTGCGAGGAAAGGTATATGGCAGAAAGGAGGAGAAGGAAGGGGGGGATTTAGCGCGTCAGGTGGCTGAACAGTGAAGCAAGTAACCTTACGGAGCCTAGGCTTGTGCCCTCGATTGAGATATTAAAATTGCAGCTGCGAACTCCAATCTCAGGGCCCACTTGCATCTTCAAGGAGGCGAGATCAACGTCGCGCCAGGCGGAATGACAAGTGCGCACGGGGACTGTGATAATCAGCGCAGTGTACTGCTGCTGCTATGCTTCACGTCGTCAACTTCTTCCTCTGTTGCAAGCGTATCTGTGCGTTATCTTGTTGGTTTTATAACTTTGTTATGCCTTCTCTTTCCTTACTTGTAGATATTTTTTACTCAAGTTTGACATTTTTCATGCATGTATTTCCATGCGTTTCTCGTATGAATTTTTGTTTCTTTTCGTATTGATTGGTGAACGTTTGTTTCACTTTATTTACGTTTATAGGCGATTCAATCTGAAGGTAAATATTTCAATATAAATTGCAATTAATCAATTTTAGTCAACAAGCTAGCTTATGACTTTTAGTATTGTGCAATCAACAAATTCACCAATGCCAGGAACTGAAATTAAAGCTTTTTTGAGTTGAATTAAAATGTGACATAACGTTATTATGACATAATTTCACAATTGAAGATGTAAAATTGTGTAATTTATTATCGAAAGGTGAATATCGGTATATAATTGATGCTACATATCATCATTCTCATTAAGTATGAATATCAACAGAAAGAAAACAATGGCGCCGCAGACTATATTGATAATCATTTATTTGACAGAATAAATTCAATTGCTCCATGAGGAAAATGGTCCATATGGAAGATTAGTTTTCAAATATTGATACCTGAAATAGAGAACGAGAGAGAATACCATTGCAACAATAATCAAGTTTGAAGCCAGGAGCTGAAATGGGTCAAAGGAGGTCGACTCGGAGAAATTACGGGGTATGCGACCAAAACTGAAACTTATTAAAGTCAATTGAATCCGTCCGCTGTTGCATACTGAGCGAGCGTTATTCGTGGTGCAATATGAAAATTTTGCTTTGCATTGAATAACGCCCAGATTATCAATCTTTCTCTCTCTCTCGCGAGCCAGATGTGAATTTTTGCTTTACTAACGTGGATTATCGGTTGACCTGATTTCACCGCTCCAAAAAAAGCACAAAAACATAACAACGAATATATTCATTAACCTAACAGTTGCACACAACAACGGAGTATTAAATAATCCATCACATATACATCGAAACGTTAAAGTAACTAGTACAAGTTTAAATTGGTTCTGTTACAAAGAGGAAGTTTAGCATTAGAGAAGGAGAGAGCGACAACGACTACATCGACTACCGAAATTCTTGGTGGAATCATCTATGAGTGAGCTTCGACAAGTGCAATTAGCAGAGGAAGCTTAATCCGATTTCTCCATCTCTTTCACTCCATAGTTTCTTCTCTGCTTTACTTCTCCCTTGGCGTAGCGAGCTTTCGTTTGGCTTTTATCGTTGCGCAATCCTTTCGCAGACCGGGACTGAGATTTACAGTGCTGCGCCTTATTACTTTTGGCACGACGACGTTCTAAGGATTCGTTTGGTATAGTTGCGAGAGCAAGTTCGTTTTAGATGAGCTCACGCTATGTCATATCGTTCAGAACTAGATAATGTTGAGTCTTTGAAGTTTTGCTTTTATTACTTTTTTTCTTTTTTGGGCTAAAATGCTCGAACTTTCCATTTGCGGTTGTTCGAATTCGACTGGAGTCATCTAATAATTAAAAAATCAACTTTGCATGAATTACTATAGTCTCAAAGAGGCGAAAATAGCTACTTATACATTTATCGGGTGTTTTGATCGAAAGGTAGCCTAGGAACCATGTATTTGGTACATGCAAGTTTAAATTACTAGTTACTGCGGTGAGATAGAGCTAACCTATTATCCTCATAATCCTTGATAAGTGATTCAAGGTTAATCAATTTTTTAATGGTACCAAGCAGCTCGACGAATATCTTGAGGGTGTAACACATTTGAATCCAGAGTTGTTAAAAGAAAAATAAACAAAATAATAAATAGGTATTCAAATTGACAAATCATGCATATCATTTTGTTAGCTAGAATTTCGAGTATTTGCGAATTCAAAAAGTTGCCAATGACCCTGATACCGTCTTCTCCGGCGCTGTAACATTTTAGAAAATAAGCAGGAAGAGAGCCAGAAGTGCAGTTTAAAAATGTCAATACATATTTATTATCAGGACGGTTCGCGTATCATGGTGTATATCTAGCAATAATAACAAATTTAACAGTTCGTTACTTATAGTTCCCTTTCTCTTTGTCTTTCATCGACGGCGAGGTAGAAGAGGAAACACGCACTTATCTGGCACCGCGAACAAGAATGTCGTGTCGAGTCGAGAGATAGATGAAGGCTAGGCCATAAGTAAGAAGCTACCCACTCGCTATCTGTGTGTACGTATATACGATGTCCGGCTGCTGCCCCGAGTACAATAGGGGAAGTTCTGGCTGCCTGCAGCGGAAGGATCATCATTGTTTGAGGGAAGCGAGGGGGGGGGGGGTGAAAAAAAGAAAAATAAAGCAAGAACTAAAGGGGGTCCTGCGACGTGCAGAAGGAGCTGTCGCGAGTGGGAGCAGCTGTCGTTGCAAAACGAAGATGAGGGAGTGAGGTGAAGGTGGAGGGGAGCTGGAGAGGAAGTGCTTGAATAATTCACTCACCGACGACGTTAAGGGTGTAGTTGAGGTACATCTTGGGCTCGGTGCTGACCTGGCATTCGTAAATGCCCGAGTCGCGTTGCTGAGGCGACTTGATCTGTAGCGTCCAATTCTCCGATTTATCCGGGTGGATCACTTGAAACCTCAGGTCCGAGGTGTACATGGCAATACCTGCGCTCAGGATGTGCATGTCTCGTTTCCTCATCCACGACACCTGTAATCAGACCAGCAAGCCAACACGTTTATATAATGTATGTGCGAACGCCACGGCTATACGAGTACATATATTCGCCATCGCGCGCTGCGGCCGGAAGCGTAATCGTCTCTGACGATTGCTTCGTTCGATTTGCGGTGCTCGTGAGAATCGACGCGCTGCAAGAGGGCAGCCAGATTGTTCAATTTGCTCTCCCTGCCTGGCACACGCGTACGTTGCCGCAAATGTGCCGTATTAATGCGCGCGCATGCCTTCGGAGGCGTGCGGGCCAGCTGATGGGCGTCGCTGAAAAATAGCCTGTGGCCGGCCGATAGCTGCGCGTGACAAAAGCCAATATAGCCTATACCTGCTGCTTTGTACTTGTACTTTGCATGCTGGTCGAGCGCTCTTTTAACATTTCCATTGATATTGCAAAATGTGTTTGAAATGCAGCAAAGAATATTTTTACTGACAGTTATGTATTTCTTTATCATACTTGCACATTTGGTAGATAAAGAAATATTGAGTTGTCACGCAATAACAATTATCTTTGCTTCCTATGGTGAAATAAAGTGGAATTATAGAAAAACAGTAGGGCACTTACGCTGGAAGTTTATTTACAAGTTTAATAACATTTTCGTTGTTATTTCAGATTATTCAACGTTATTGTTATTATCGGATCCTGTATTGACCGAGGCAGCTTACATATATGCACATGTGTATTTGGAAATTGTAACTACTGAATCTAATCAGACTCAAACTGTATATTCGCTCGAATGTTGATAATTCTAGTCAAATGCTTTTCAAACTACAGAGCAAATTGAGAGAACTGAAAAATTAGTGAATTTTTGAAGATCTATCTACGTATAAAATATAATCAGAAATTCGATATAACCAAAACCGTGACTAAACAAATAATTTTTTTCGTAAATTTCAGAACTTGATTTCCATGATTGAAATTGCCGGATATATATAAGCATATCTCGAGAAATAATATTTAGTTAGCCACAGTCTCATTATAGTGGCGACCGCAAGCAGCACATTTTTTTGTGATTTACACGAGCAGACGCAAGCTGTTCTATCGCAGGAACATCTCCGTTCTGGACTTTTAATATCTCTAACGTTATTTTACGAGATACATTAGAGTTGCCGCTGCCGCTGCTGCTGCTGCTGCTGCTACTGCCTAGGAAACGTGCGCACCACTACGCGGCGTCGGGCCCCATGGTGGAAGAAAAACCGTCGGCGACGATTGGATTTGCGCAGTATTTCCTGCGTAACTAAATTGGATTGGCATTTTATATTCGTTTGCGTGGCGTGAAGCCAGCAAGCGATTTCGCTCTTGCCTGCGCATGGCAAAAAATCTAGTGATTAGACGCCAACTCACCGCGTGACACCGAAAATGGTGTCACGCGCGGACTTGCGTGGTCAACGAAAACAATAGCGGAATCGCAGAAAAAACAGAGAGACAGATATTCCCAGTGAAAATACCGTTTTTGCGTATTTTATTTCTGGTTGATGCGAACGTTAAAAAAGTAACGATGTATTCAGTTCTCGCGCCGGAAGCACGTGTGCGCGTACGTGTTCTGTGTGTGTGTGTGTGCGTAAACCCACGTCTGACCATATACGAGCGTTTCTACTGAAATGGCAGAATTGTATTTTGGTAACTGACTATGACTTTTGTTTCTGCTATATGTCTGTATTAGCGGTATTCTCTCTAAACTCGCCAGTTGGCAAGGAAAAAAACGGATGTTTCACACAGTAAAACTCGAACGAATGAACGTCAGGCGATACAAATATTTTACTTGCTGGAGATCATCGTTAATGTAGCTGAAAATTAGAAACTACACAATGAACTGAATTCCGCTTGTAATTTAGTGTAATCTTTTTGATGTGCATCACGCAGCACATTTGAATTAGACGTCAACGAATGTTTCAGGTAGTCTAATGCGCTCAAACTAGCATAGAGAGCCAACATCACAATGTTGTATAAACTTTCGTAAAAATTGTGAAAATTACAAGCAGCTGCTGGCGGACTGTGGAAATTTACAAATGATGATATACTGTCGGGAAACGCATGATATATGAACGATTGAAGCATAAGAGGGACAGCACAAATTTGTGCATCTCACGCTTTAATTTTCAGCGAGCTCGTAACAATTTGTGTCGCTTTACAAGCTCCAATAATTCACGTGTACGCAAGTAAGTGAGAGAGATATGTATATATAAATATACATAGTGTTAATTTGACAGAAAGAGGCGGATCTTAACTGTAAATAAGCGCAGTAGGAGAAAAGAGAGAGTTTGAGAGGGAAGGAGGAAAGCTAATATCGTTAGAGAGAGAGAGAGCAGCGCATACGTGTCTGCGTATTGGGATGTACGCGGCGTCGCTCCGGCTAAACGCACGAGAGCCAAGATCAATAAACCAGCTAGGAGTCAGTAGCAGTAGTCGCCATCGTCGAGGAAATGACACGCAGCACCGGCCGCACGTACTTTCCATGGAAATTTCAGTCACGCCGGTGCGTACTCCCTTGTACTTCTTGCTTCTCTTCCATTCTCTCTGTCTTTAATATGCTCACATGCGCTACTTGCTGGGTTTCATGTTCTCGGGATATTTATTGGTCATTTTAATAGTATTTTAATGAGTTTCCTCGTAACAATGGGTCGTCAATCAATGGGACGTTTATGGCTCTAAATATAGTCAACTTTATAATTATTATTTTTGAAGTTATCTTCACTAATTAACAAAACACTTTTCAGCACTTTCGGTATTGGAAATAATTCAAGATTTTAAATATAAAATAGTCTATAAAACGTATGTTCAATTCGGGAGCATAGTTTACTGAAAATTTGGTAAATTGAAGTGGAATTCGGGCAAAATAAGTTATGGAAGCTGTGCGATGTTTCTGTAACACAAAGATCTTCTTTAGCCGTGCGCGGACAAGTGCAAAGCCGTACAGAGAGAGAGAGAGAGAGAGAGAGGGGGAGAGGGAGAGAAACTGGTAGGTTGGCCCAACACTGCAACCTCTCAAAGTCTAGCCTGAGGGTGCATCTCGTGGAGGAAGAGGTTCCTCCCAGCTCTGCCCCATGTGCACATGCGGACGCGGTCAAGCTTAACGAACTTCCTGCTCGTCTTGCCACGCTGTTTTGGCCACTTTCCACACGATAGACTTGCAGATTCACCAACCCTCTCTTACGCACATATTCACTAAGCCTCCCTCGGGACCGTCAGCTACATAGACAGCCGCTCACTTTCACACGCTCGCCGCGCGGATATACCTATACAGTAAGCTAACGAGTGCCTGATTGGTCGAATGTTTGCTTTTCTCATCGAACGTCAGCTACTGCTTTTATTTGTGCGCTAAGGGGAAACCGCGTCATTAGCCGATTAGCTTTCGGCCGACTTCCTCGTGTGTATATACGTATATAGAGGTATACATGTATGCGGAATGCGCATTCCGTGTACAGGGTGAATCGTAAACGCGAGCTTGCGCGCGCGCGCCCAGAGATAGCAACGTTATCGGTACTTCCATGCCTGAAAACTGCCGGCCGAATTTTTCCGGCGCACATTACCAGATGGGAAGAGAGCTGTGTCGGATGGGCAACGCCTTCCTCGTTATTAAGCGCATTTTATCGCGCTCGATTAATGCTCTCGCATCAAGCTTGTTTATCGTGGCACGCGAATAAAAAGAAAAGGACGACGGGAGGGGCAAGCAATGCGGGAATGAGACGCAAATCACGCGGGAAATGGAATTATGCTACAATCCTGTCAGAATCCCAGCGGTTGCAGGTCTGTTTTTTCTTCGTTTTACGTTTATTCTTTGTAGGTAAAGAAAAAAGAAAAAAACAAGGAACTCATAAGATTGTGTATGCTAGTGTATTGTGCTGTTTTTTTTGTCCGTTAGATTATTGTCGTTTCGCATGCTTTCAGCGCACAAGCGAAGCTTTGTTGCAGGAGTGTTTTACAGACTTATGCATGCAGGAAGGGCAACGTGTTTACATCCTTGTTGTCGGCAGGTGCATACCAATGGAAACAGGGGCTTTTTATAACCTCTAGCAGGATATTCGATTTCATAATGTGACATGCGAGAGCAGCGAGCTTGCAGATTTAAAGTTTTTTGAAAATTGATTTACCTGGCGACGTATAAATTGCACAGCAAGTACTCGGGCAGCAAGTATTCGTGTTAAATACGTTGAAAATAGTATTTAAAACGATAAAATAAGTCTAATGCACCACCAACACAAGGTGAGTTTCCACTTCGTAACCAAGTTTACGGTATCCAATATCATTTACCGCGTGTGGAAAAGCGATCTCGTTGTGTACGCAAAGCGACTCTGAACGCGGTTATGGGGAGTGGGAGCATGTTACGTGGAATGTGATATAGCGCGACGAGTAATGATAGGTCGAATTTAAAGATACTTCTCTCTTTCCACCTCTGCCTCTCTCTCTCACTCTCTCGCCATTATCGATACACTATTGCTCATAAATACGGTTGCCCTGTAAGTAGCCTGGCTGCTACTGTTGTATCCGCCAACCCTGCGTCCAGCAGTATAAGCATATGTTATATCGCGCGCCGTGGCGGTAAGCGCAGGTGGGAGGGCCAAGTAAAGTGCGTTTACGAGGACGGTTTATTGCGTTTGCAGTGCGCGTAAATCGTAACGGGCTTGAACGATCTCTGCGCCCATGCCAGTAATGGAGTTTTCAGCCTATTTCCTCACTTTTTTTTCCATCTACCTTGCAGGCAATGAACACGATTGCATTGGGAATTCCAGCTGATGGCTAAACGAAAAACAGAACGAATACGTGCATATGCTTTCGAACGACTTTTTCAACGACTTTCTATATCTTCGGCCTTATCTATTGCTGCGATACCGGTATGTAATCAATGTTTTGAAAATCATCGCGTACGTGGTTGACAATCGCGCTCGTGCTTCATGCGAGCTCAGCGAAGACAATGAAAACGGTGACCGTGTAAGCAAGAACCGTGCCCATAAATTGAAACGCGAAATTACGCTAATCCACG